CGTTAACGTAATACTCTCTCTCTCTCTCTCTCTCTCTCTCTCTCTCTCTCTCTCTCTCTCTCAAAAAGAGAAGAGAAGAAGAGTATTATAGGAAGAATGATATTCCACACGTATATTTACATCTTGTACAGAACAATAATTACGATATGTAACGGTAGGAGAGCAAGTTGAAATCGAGAAAGAATACGAAAGAGGAAACGACATGCAAAAACCGTTATTGGACAATTTGTAGGATAAAAGGTAGAGTCTTCTCGTTTCAATTTTTTCTAACTTTTTTTTGAATCGTGATCCTCTTTTTTAATATTCAAATAAATTATGATTCCCCAACACAGTTTTTATTAAATTTTTATCATATAACAAATATGATGATTAATAAATCAAATAACGAAAGATTTTAATTTATTTTTTAGAGTTGTGACTTCTCTTTATGGTATTTAAATAACTTATGATCCTCTTGAAATAGATTTCAAAGTCCAAAAAAAATTCCAATGCTAGGAATAAATCCTAAGTACATACATAAATTATAGGTAAAAAAAGAATGAGCATAAATGATGAATAAATGCTAAAAATCATAATAAGAGAAATATATCGAATGTAAAAGTTTTAAGTGATCAAGACAATTTATAGCATAAATGTTTGATAATCTTCTCTATTATTGGGAAAAAAATTCCCCTTGATCTTAAATGGAACGACATGTTTATTTTACAATAACTCTCAATCCTCTTTCACTCTTTCTTGTCACTCAATAAGTCACTTCTTTTCATGCTTGAGAAAATACAATGACTTTTACCCTTTTGAAAGTCAAAGAACAAAAGAACTCGATCCATATCGGGATTAAATTTCAATTCCATTATTTCGTAAATATTTACACTACTTTTATTATAACTAAAGATGACAACAGCGATTTTAAAAAATATGTCAAACGTGTCTCCCTCTTATGGATCATGATTCATTGAGAACCACTGATATAAAGAAAAGAACATTAAAAATAGACAGAAGAAAATCGGCATACTCATCGTGAATTCGATGCAACAATCACGATTGCAAAACAACGTGATCTGACTTCAGTATTGCTTCTACTAAAAATCATTAGAAGATCATAAATTATCTATATTTTCTGTTATATATAAATTATTTAATTGTAAATATTAATATAATTGTTAGAATCTGTGATAGTAACCAATATTGCAATTTTCATATTTATCTACATCAATGATTGCATTATCTATTCATCTATAGTATTCTCACTGATATATTTCTTCCGTGATAACTGAAATGAATCCAATTTCCGTTGAAATTGAACAATCTCAATCCTGAGTTCATTATGTATTTTCACTGTTTTATTAGAATACTTTATTACAAACAATATTTTTTTACAAAAGATTTTATGAATCGTAAAAATCGTTACAAAATTTTAATATATATAAATTTATAATATTTTTAATTATGTTAAAACACAGGCAATTATAAAAAGATAAGAAAAGATAATAATTTTCAATCCTAATTTTATTATTTAGTAAAAAAAATATCAGATATTCTCTTAAAAATATCTTATCGCCATTATATGTGACGATTATTATTGTAAATTTAATTAATATTACAGATGAGCTGTAACTGTCCATTAACCCCATCGACTGGACCGACACTGGCATCAACATGCGGTGGTTCATCCTTTATGCTATTCATGGGTCTTTTAGAAGTATTTCTTCGTAGCCAGTGTGACCTCGAAGATCCATGCAATAGGCCTTTACCACCTCCTACCGTTAATTCCAGGTAAAATTTATTTACGATTAATTTTATATTATAATTTTTTACGAACTTTTTTGTTACATTATGATGATTAAAAAAGTTTCGAGCAAAAATTTAATATATAAAATAATTCACAAAATTAAATTTTAACAAACTACATATTAGAAAAAAAAAACCTGAAAATTGTTTTAATCAATATAAATTCATTCGTCAAATGTTATTACATTCAATTATTGTAAATATGTTACAAAATATTCTAATCCCCGTAATCCCCATATTGGGAATAAAACTCAGTTGACTTTAAATTCCCTGGAGGCATTCCAATATCGATATCGCAAGCAGTCACACATATTATACAATACGAAAAGTTCCGCGAAATATATATCTCATACAAATAAATTTCATATATTTCCAAAAATAAGATAGTGAATGGTTCGAAATTTTTGAATTTTTTTGAGATTAAATCATACCAGATTACGATCAACTAAAACAACAAATTGATCGTCTTTTGATAAAGATGATTCAATAATTAAGGACTCGTTTCGTTTATCGAGATCAAAAAGAAAAACCGATTATCGTATCCAATTATATCCATTTTTATTTTATTTCGCATGCCATTTTGTTTCACTTTGTTTCATTAACAAACAAATCTGCAAAAATTTCTACTATTTTATTTATCATTTCGTTTGGCTAGAATCCTTTTGTCAATTTTAAACCGATATTTATTTGTGTTTGTCAATTCAATAATTGCATTCTTGTGTTTTGTGTATTTTTAGAAAATTATATTATACTATTAAATATATAATATTAAATAATAAAATTGATATTATATAGGTTTTATACATACAAAATAATATTATACATACAAAGCCAATATCACAGATTTTTTTTCCTATCATCGCTATTTTTTGCATTCAATTTTCTTATATATTTCATAAATCTTTCTCAAAAACATTCATTAAAAATTTTATATTGAATATTTATATAATATATAATAATTTAATATAAATGATATTGATAGTCTTCATTTTTGTTTTTTTTTTTCTTCTATCATCGCCATATTTTTTTATCTAGCTTCCGTATATCTCCATAAATCCTTCCTCTTTCCTGTATAATATCGCTCCGTTTCATTAAAGCATCAATGAGGTATCAGAGCGAATCTAAAAAGATTCCGGAAGAATTCTGAATAAACGACAAGCGAATAATGTTGCTTGAACAGGAACCAGATGTCTCTGCCATCGTTTGAACGACACCGAAGAAGATACGTTTAATTGTCGGGGACACGGTTCACATAATACCGTATGGAAACTCATTTTGTTCTCTGTATCCCTCTCGGAAGCGAGCATTCATGCATACACATATCTGTGAAATCTTTGCATGTATGCGCGAGTAATGGCCCGGTACCATTGTCTCTGATGATTCTCTCACATTGCATCACACCTAACCTCATAGATGTGCGCTTGTACTTATGCCGGATGCGGACTGAGGCAACAGCTTCGAACCAGCTATTAAATTTCGTATAGTTTTAGATAGATGCGAATCTGTGTTATGAATAATTGAGTGAAATTGAAAGTGCATCATCAAGAATTGTTTATAGTTGCAATTCATGGCGAAAGGTGCGTTAATAGTGTATCAATTTTTGTAGAGGATTTAAAATATGATAAGGAAGGAAAATGAGAAGTGTGATAGAGAAATGTATATATAAATAGTTGACCTAACTCTATGTTTAAATGATATTCAGCAATTTTTTAATTGTTTAAAAAATTTTTTTAATGTTAATAAATATTTATCAAAATAAAATAAATTGATTTTGATTAATATTTATAGATAGATAGATATATACTTTATATTCATATTCATTTTTATTCATGAGGAAATTTGATAGCAAGAAATTATATAAATGATTAACAGATAAAATCATATTATAATTTATAAATCACTAGAATAATAATTAATATCATTAATTACTAATGAATTTAATATCACTACTTTTGTTTAATTACAAATAATATTTATTTTCATCAGATCTGAAATGGAATACCTTAAGGTACTTATACATATACATATGAAATAATAATATTAAGAATAAAAACTATTTAAAAAAAGATATTTGAGATATAAATTATGGATTAAGTATATCATATGATTAAGAAATGATTTCATAATTTTAATTTTAAATATTCCTGTTATCTACATTCTGTTACCCAAGTATCTGTTATTTTATTTTTATTAATAGTGAGTTATTATGTATAGATTCTCTATACTTATGCAACTTATCACGAATATTTCGCATATTTATTGAATATTTTTTTACATCATTCTGTTTAGTTGAATATTCAGGATGCAAAAAATGAAACATTATTAACTGATTTCTCGCGAGATATACATTCATCGGTTCATATGCATTTAATTAACTCGATTTCGCATTTCTCATGCATGCTTCGAATTATATAACATTACGCTTTTGCTATATAATTTGATGCGGAATGACATAGAACAATCTCCTCTTTTAATCCTTCCAAGTTATCATTTAATCGCTTTTATTTAACATTCTTATTTTTAAATATAAGGCTCTTAAAATTTTTTAAGCAATTTTATTTAAAAAAATTCTATTTATTCTAGTATCAGTACATGCAATATATATAAATAGTTAATTGACAAGTTATGGATATTTTTTTTTAATTTCATAATTTTAAATTATATGACAATAACAGGTGATTCATAATTTATAAAATTTAATTGAAAAATCTTCATTTATTTTATTATCAAACTAGCAAAAAAATTTATATAATAATGATTACTAATGTGTAATGTGTAATTTGCAATATGTTATATAATACTATGTGTTTCCATTGAACTAGAGGATGCTTTGCTTTATAAATATTTACAAATTATTATATATAATAAGCTTATTTAAAAGAGAAATATAGAAAAAATAAAATGATTATCATTTTAAAGATTTTAAGAAATTGTATCATCTATGACTAGTACTGAGACTATAATAAAAATAATTAAGAGGTTAAGTTAGATGACTCTTCTAAATGTTTTTTATATGATTACAAGTTTTTTCCACAGTTTTACTCATTTTCAATTCATTTTTCACACCAAAGTTGACATAATATAAATATATATACATTTTGTATACAGAATTTGAAACAAGAAAATTACAATCACTTAATTGGAAACTATATTCTGAACCGGATCGGCAAAGATTAATGAGGATATGAAATATCTAATTAATAAGGATATCGATGGAAATGAAAATTATAATTTCGTTATTGAAAACAAGGCTAGTCATCGAAAATGTTGTTTCGCTTCATTTTTAATTCATTTCCGTTGCTTTAATGTTAACGAGCGGAACACGATTGGTTAAAATTAACGATAAATAAAAACTGTCTTCTTATGGAAAGTTCTTGTTGCATAAGAAAGTGGAATTGGCATTGATGAATGCCAAATGACTTATGGGTCGTGAATTTTATTTTATGACCCGGTACTTGGAAAAAGTTAAAAGGATGAGTTAGCTTGCATGAAGCAACAAACAAGAAATGATGGTTTCATGAACATCAATAAGTTGTACGAAGTCAATAAAAGGATTTTAATCCATTGATATTATTAGAGAAAAATTATAGAAATATAGAAACAAAGAGAAGTATAGAAGAAAGAATATTGAATAGATAAGGAATTTAGTATATTTAATATAAATTTTAAAACTTTAATAATAAACTTTATTATCTGAAAGCATTTTTCTTTTTATTAAAATTATTTTTTAAGGTTTTTCAATCATTTTCAAATTTTTATCACTTTTTTATCACTTTTAAAAATTTATTATTTGAGAAGTCCAATGTTAATGAATGTTGAAAATAAATTTGTCAAGAATTTACAACTATAGTAAACAACTTGTAGCAAATAGAAAAACTGGTTTTCATGCTCATTAAGTAACTATCCCAAGAACTATCTCATTTCCAACATAAAAGGTAAGAAATGTTTGAAAATGAATGAAAAACAAAATTCTAACCTAACTTGTTTTAATCCTTAGCACATATCAGTCATTCAAAATATTTTATTGGTAATAAATTCCTCGAAATTACTTAATTTTCATCGTTCTTATCGAAATACTTTTTTTTAAAGTAACGATATTTGTCGAAAAACATGCGATACGGATCTTACGTTTTTATTAACTTATAAACACTTTCCTCAATAAGGAAAGTATTTACTTACATTTCACGGAGTGCACACGAGGTTGCACGAGTCTCGTGGCATTCAAAATATCAAACAAACTCCTGAGAAATCTACCTTTCGCTCACAGCCAGCTATAGGACGTTAGTTCGTTCCTTTAACCCAGTTTCTAATTTGTACTATGGCAATCGCGTCTTCGAATGAAGCGAAGATGCGTTGATTTTTAGTGTTAATGGCTTGAGTGGACCAATCTGTCACGTATAAAGGAGTGAAATCGTAACCTTGCTCGCAATAATGGAACTAATGTCGTAAGTAGAATGTATAGGATATATATATATATAGATTTGTGTAAAACTTGACTTTGAGAAATAGATTATGCAATATGATATTGTTTACATTTACTTATATATTGGATTATTAACTATATATAAATTATATAAGATGAAAAGTTGGATAATTCAATTATATGATGTATGATTGAGAAATATGGATAAGATAACAATAATAAAGTATTGATTATGTAATGTATTGTAAATGATTATATTAAAGGAAAAGTATTTATGTAACTTGATAATAAAATTGTGTTTATTGGTATGAAACATGGAGATAAATAGAATATATTTGTCTTTATTTTTAGGTACGATTTCGTAGTTATCGGAGGTGGAAGTGCAGGTGCAACAGTTGCATCACGATTATCAGAGGAGCCACGATTTTCGGTGTTATTGTTAGAAGCTGGATTAGACGAACCGACTGGGACCCAGATACCTTCGTTCTTTTTCAATTTCATTGGAACTGACATCGATTGGCAATATAATACCGAAAGTGAAGATACCGCGTGTCTAAATAAAGATGATCGAAAATGTTACTGGCCCAGAGGGAAAGTATGTATACACTTTACTTGGAAATAATATCCGTCAAAAAATTAATAAATAATGAAAGAAATATATAAAAATATTATGAAAAATATTAAAAGAACATTTAATCGACATGCTATTTCATGTATAATTAGTAAAAAAAAAAATAAATTAAAAAATTAAATAAATTAACGATAAAAAATTAATATTATATTTTTATAGCCGCTGTGACTATGAATAAAACAAAAAATGTATAAATATACAAAATCATTGTTATGAAGAACAATTAATTAGAAGACACAAATATTTATTTAAAATATTTCAATTAGGTAAATTGCAGTATATTATTCATTAATTTTTTACTATTTCATTAGATTATTGTTTCATCTCTAATTATTGCTATTAATTATTTCATATAATCCTCTTTCTTCTGTTGCCGTAATAATGTACAAGAATAGCGGACAGAAAGCAAACGAATAGATAATTAAAATATTATTTAGGTTCTGGGTGGAACGAGCGTTATGAATGGCATGATGTATATAAGGGGCTCGCGAAAGGATTACGACGACTGGGCGAGGCTAGGTAACATAGGATGGTCTTATCAAGATGTCCTTCCATATTTCATCAGGAGCGAGGATAATCTTCAGGCAAACACCATGGATTATGGTTATCACGGTGTTGGTGGGCCACTCACGGTCACGCAGTTCCCTTATCATCCGCCCTTGAGTTATTCTATTCTCGAAGCTGGAAAAGAACTCGGTAAATTTATTTGTAATTTTTTTATTATATTTTTTATTATTGTGATTACACACAAATTATCGTGTAGTTATTTAATTAAATGCACAGTTTACCTATCCTTTAACTAAATTAACTAAATAAATTAAATTGGATTAATTTTCTGTTTATTAGACAAACTGACATTTAATTAATAATGATGTTTAATATTAAGATACTATACCTGTTACTAATTATTAAATCATAAAAAAGAATTTTCCTTATACTTTCTAAAAGAATTCGGTTCTAAAAGGATAATTTTTCTCAAAAGAAGATTATCAATTAAGTAATGGCTTGGTAAAATTCTGTTCAAAACAACTTCTTTTTAATATTCATTATTAGTATTCCGGTTGCAATAAAAATAAATACGCGAGAAAGTTGGGAAAAAACTGGAAAATACTCTAGTAACAACAAGTCGTTCTACTTAACTCGAATTGCGTTTAACCTGTTATTACGAGACGTCGAAGAACTCGTTTCTTCTTTACATCGTTGTTATTGCTCTAATGACTCGTTTCGATATATTCATCAAAAAAAATTAGTTATATAATTCGATCACCTCTGCTAATTGCGACATTGTTTTCTAATTGCGACCGTTAGCTTTTGTTCCAATAATAATACATCATTTTGATGATGAATGGACGCATATTGACCTTGTTATACCAATTTACAAATAACGCTCGCATTTCACCGAGCGTAATCGATTCCGAATTCCAATGCAGAACGAATTCGATCTGGCAATTTAACTTAATTTTAATTCTTAATAAGATATTTATGAGAAAAAAAAATTATTTTAACCGTTTTAAGTTTCAATTCTTTTGAGAATTTTGAGAGAAAGGATTTGGATTCGAATTATTATAAATTTTTTCTTTAAATTTGAATTTTGAATTACAATATTAATTACAATATTTCTCCAAATTATTTATAGGTTATGGTATCGCGGATCTAAATGGACGAACTCATACCGGATTCGCTATAGCCCAAACGACCTCCAGAAATGGTTCACGGCTTTCGACTGCCCGGGCATTTTTACGACCAGCTAAAAATCGTCCGAATCTCCATATAATGCTCAACTCCACAGCCACTAGGATTCTGTTCGACAACAACAAAAGAGCAGTTGGTGTGGAATTTGTCCACGATGGGAAAGTCCATCGAGTTTCTGTGGCGAAGGAAGTAGTCATAAGTGGAGGTATTTATTTTAATATTAGTATTTCAATATTAAGTAGAGTTAAATATAGCAGTATAAATAATGCAATTTGAATATTCTATAATTCAAAAATTTTTATGAGACTATTTTATTTCCTTTACTGTGAAATACTGTACAAACGAAATATAAATTTAAAAATGCATATGAACGATTTTTTGTTTGTTGATTTGTCTTCGTTATTCTCAGTTAGAGAAATTAAAAAAATCATTCGTTTGCAGATTCGAACCTAAATCGAATTATTTACGACATATTTATAAGATATTATTATGTGTTATTTTTGTAACTCGAATTCTAGCTACTATCTTTTTTCTCGAATATTCTGATCTTATTCTAATCGTATTTAGATTATTCTATATCTTTACAAGTTGAAATTTATTTACATAAATCAAATTTTAAAATTAGTTCATTATATGGTGCTTTTATAATTCGTTTTAAAACGTTTTAAATCATTCTACAAATCATTTTATATTCTATTAAAAAAAAAAAATTGGAAACATTTGCATAAATATCGATTGAAATTATAATAATTTTACATATTTTTTAAGTAAAAATAAATAATTCTTTTTCTTTTACAAGATTATACTAAGTTATTAGATTATAACAGTTTATATTATATTTTATATTAAAACTTATCATGTTCATTAAATATGCATTTCTATCATATTGCTAAGATTTGCAATTAATTTACATTGATACAAAAAACTAATTTTTATTTGTAATATAACAATAAAAAATATTGTGACAAATAAAAATATTTAAATTAATTGATTGATGTTTACATAATATGATAATAATAGATAATTTTAAACACATGTAGAATTATATTATTATTATTTTATACTCTATGATAGTATTATTATAATTTATAATATATTTTTTTACATATATTTATATTCATTAATGACGATAATATTCATTTATATTCATTCATATTCATGAAATAATTTAAATAAATATCTTTAATTAATTAGACTTCAGAATAAATAATAAATAAATAAATTATTAAAATAATTAATAATAAATTATAAATAATAAATAAATCATTTAATTGCATTTCTCTATACTTGAACAAAAATTTAAGAAAAACAAATATAAAATAAAATTGTTTAAAGAGATTCTTCAGAAATTTAACACATTAATTTAAAATTATTTTATTTAGAAAAATAAATATATGTTTATTAATAAAATTGAAATGTAAATACAGTTTCAAAAATAATTTAAACAAATAATTTAAACATTAATTTAAAAAAAAAATCATGTAATATTACCTAGGATATTTCAATTTAAATCTATCCATGTAATATCAACGTGTGAAATGATAGCTGTCAATCAAGTTTTAAATCCATCAAAAAAGGAAAGCAGGAAGAAATGAGTTTCACTTATTGAGAAAGAACAAATAATTTTCTCTTGCAGAAAAAAAATACTCATTATCGAAGAATTTGAATAACCAATTCCATAGTTTATATTATGTTATACCATAGATTACATGATCATACATGGAAATTTAATTTTTCACTTCCAATTTTAGTTTATTAATCCGTATGTTTCATAAACAATCTACATTTCTACATTTCTAATTACATTCAAGTTAATTGGTAAAGAATATTTATTTGTATTAAAAAATCTTTCATATTTTTAATAGTAATTTATGTGAAAGTATGCAAATATTCAATATTTAAAATTATTTCATTAAGATTTAATTACATAGCATTTTACCTTCATATAATTTATAAAAATTATTAACATGATAATTATAATGTAAGTAATCAAGAATACAAATAAAATATAAAAACATTAATATTTTTACATAATTATTACAAAATTATAGTAATATTTCATTCATCCACTCATCAAAAATACTGAAAAATACTGAATGTCCTTAAACAATCGTAGAATAATTTTAAAATAATTATTTATCATCGAAATAAGTCATGATTCATCATGATTTATAATTACAATCACGCGAATAATAGAAATTGCGTGCCATTCAAAGGAAATAAAGATTGCTGCGGAAGAGGACACATTTGGTTAATATATTGTTGATGACCGGCTAGAGAGGATTCATTGATAATTATATATTAGTTACAAGGTCGTTTTTAAACTTTCATTCTATGTACATATTTTTCTGATTAGTCAATCCTTTGATATGTTCCTTTGTACGATCGATCAGTGACCATATTCTGTTCAAATTGCGACTTCCTTTTGTAATATACAGTTGGATAATTACACAGAATGATTTGCGAAATAAATGCGTGAATATTATATTTATTTCCATTACTAGAAAACAGATTTAATATTAGAATTATCAAATTGTAATTAATATATTTAAATATACCATAAATAATTATAATTTTAATAATATATATATATATACATACAATGAGTTTCTCTCTCAATATTATTATCAAAAGTTATTTTTTTTTATGATTAAAAGAACATCATTTAAATATGCATAATATTTTTGTTATTTAGGTGCCGTTAATTCACCACAAATACTTTTGAACAGTGGTATCGGTCCTCGGGAAGAACTGAACGCTGTTGGTGTTCCGGTTATTCATGATTTACCTGGTGTAGGTAAAAATCTTCACAATCACGTCGCCTATACGCTGGTCTTCACTATTAATGATACTGACACGACTCCCCTTAATTGGGCAACTGCAATGGAATATCTTCTTTTCAGGGATGGATTGATGTCTGGTACAGGTAAGTTAAAAATATATTTAAAAGTATTATTTGTAATTACATTACAAAAAAACTATCATAAATTATAATGCAACAATCGAAATTTTCTTGTAAACTAATTCATAAAATTGTTTGCAAGAAATCAAAGAATAAAAACTATGCAAAAACTCATCAAATATTCGATATTCGAGATGTATTGAAACAATTACAAGTGTCTGCATTCAGTGAAAGTTTGTTACACAATAATCCTAGTTCGTGTTGTTTGTCACGATCAATTTAATGACGCAATCGCGTGTTCGATCGGTCTGTTTACCATCATTTGACCCGAAAGCGATCGAAAAATTACTCTATCCTGGTTTCTAACGGTTAACTGACTAGTTTATTGAAACTACTCGCATTTTACGAGTTTATAACTCGTCGAGTCGTTTCCACCAATCACCAACGACCAACAACGTGACCCGCTACGAAATCGGACCAATTAGCTTTCGATTCGTTGCTTCGTCGGTTGTGCGCTTCCACTGTTCGTCGTTGCACGCGTGTTTCCGACGTTTTACGATCGGTCACAAGTTTTGCACAAATCTCAATCATTTCAACGTATAGTAACTCCTTCCTTGGGTGCAACTCGTGGAAGTTTAATTACATAGTAATTTACAAGGTAAAGGATCGAAACCATTAGATTTTCGTTGAAATAATCTGAATTAATATCGTGACATGTGCTTTGCTTGCATGACCTAAGAAATGAAGATGTTTGAAAAATCATTTAAAATATTCGAAAGTCTTTCGTAATATAATTTATCAGAAATAAGTGTATTTAGAATATGATTAGAGTTTATGTTATTCCTTTTAGGAAATCCTTCTAAGAAATCTACGAAAGATTAAATTAGATTCTTTAAAATTATCATGAATTTTTTAAAATTTGACATTCTAGATATATAGTATTAAACAATTTAATATATTTCAGAATAAGCAATTTACTATGAAATATTCAATTGATAGATAGTTTAAATTATTCCGTTCTCTTTAATTTTTTTTGAGATAATAAAAAAAAACTTCATGAATGACAAAGAATATATTTTGCAAATTTCGCCAATAGCAGATAAGAATAAGATTGTTTCATTTTAATATATGAGAAAATATGAAATTGACATTATATTGAAAAATAAACTTTTATTATCTTCAAATACTTACGTTTGCGAAAAGTTTAATTATTATATTAATTTAATGGTTTTTCTATGGTTTTATTTATTGTATATTATTTCTGATTTTCAATCGTTTGAGACAGCGCATTTTTGTTTCAATTTTTTTTTCTTAATTTTCCGCATCAAAGGAATATAGTGAATTTAATCTCGCAATTATTTTTTTTTGAAAGATCGACGAAAAATCATAAATTTAGCCATTGATATTATTATTTTTTAATATTTGAATGAAATGCAATTTATTATATTAAAATAACTTTTTAATTTATTAAAAAATTTTCAATAATTTTTTGAAAATTGAAGATTGAAAATCTTCAAGACAATTATTTCATGACTAATTCATATGTTTATTGAATTAATTATAAAAATATATTGGTAATATTCATTGATATATTTATTATATATGTATATTAATCAATAATCTAATCTCATAAGTAGATTTGCGATGCATGAATTTCAAAAATAAATATATATAATTTTAAAACATGAAGTTTGAAAATGAAATCGAGATTATCGATAATTTAGCAAATTCAATATATGTAAAGTACTTAATAAAAATAAATAAGTAATAAAAAAAATTAATTAAAAATTTTTTTAAATTGTATTACAATTTTCGATACACCTTATATCAATTATGCATATTTTATATTATACTTGATACTATACTACTATTATGACATATTATTCTCTAGTTATTTTATATAATTAATTATATTATATTTTATATAATTAACAGGTATTTCCGAGGTAACAGCGTTGATAAATACGAAATATGCGAATCCAAAGGAGGATCATCCGGATGTTCAGTTGATATTCGGCGGATACCTAGCAGACTGCGCAGAAACGGGTATGGTCGGTGAAACAAAGGGTAATAACCGAACCATTTACATCATTCCAACATATCTTCATCCAAAGAGTCGTGGTTACCTTCGTCTACGAAATAACGATCCTCTTTCGAAGCCGTTGATCTACCCGAAGTATTTGAGCCATCCTGATGATGTAGCGGGTCTTATAGAGGCTATTAAATTCAGTATAAGATTGTCTGAAACTGAGGCTCTCAGCAGGTACGACACTCTCACATTCGAGTAATTTATACAAGTATCGATTTCCTCTCATTGAGCAGTTTTAACTAAGGTCAATAGCATCTTCGATCAATTTTGTACGATTAGTGTTTGCTGATAGGTCGTATATATTAAACTATGTAAATTCATAGATTCTAAATATATTTTTCTTATTAAATCAATGTTTCACAATCTTTTTGAAATTATGATTCTTTTATATTTTTTTCTCTTTATACTCTAGTACTTTTAGTACGACAAAAATCACTATTATGGTCATTATTGCAATATCATATTAAAATAAATAAATATTAATAATCTTATTAAAAAAGCTTTTTATAAAAATAACACTTATCTATTGATAAACAATTGAATGTTATCAACTGAGTAAAACCTTGGACGAAATCTGCTTTACCTTGCAATATCCCTAATGGGGCAGGGAGGGGGAGCTCTCTCGATTCGAACAAACAGATTATTTTACGTAAACGCAAATACATTTTATTTGCAAAAGGAGTTTATGCTGTTTTTTTAGTTAATGACTTTCAGCATTTATTTATTGTATATAATACAATTACATTGCTATATTTTACAAAAATATCAGAGTGGTCATTTCGCTGTTTAGGTTAAATATCATTTCGCTATAATAAAATTGTATCAATTTTTTTTTAATATATTCTTATATGAAAAAGGAATTGTAACTTATTTAAATTATTTAGATATTATAAAAAAGAGTCACAACACAAAAATGATTAAAAATTATTGTAATAAAATATATTATTTATATATAAGTATTTTAACAACGTTTTTTCCACGTTAAATTTCATTTTCTTCTTACAGATATGGATTTCAATTAGATCGTACACCCGTGAAAAATTGTGAACACTTGGAATTCGGTTGCGATGCTTATTGGGAATGTGCAATAAAGCATGACACTGCGCCAGAAAACCATCAAGCAGGTTCTTGCAAAATGGGCCCACCGGACGATCCTCTTGCGGTGGTAGACAATCAATTAAGAGTCAGAGGAGTGAGAGGCGTCAGAGTAGCGGATACTAGTATCATGCCAAGGGTCGTTTCCGGTAACACAAATGCGCCCGCCATTATGATAGGAGAACGCGCCGCAGACTTCATCAAGAGGACCTGGGTTGGCTGAAAGAAGTTTTCTCATTAGAAAGAAACTTCCTCTGAAATGAAAAATTATACAGAAAGAAATTTATAGTTGACCACCGATTCGTGAAATATTGAATTTAAACCTGGAAATGTGATTTTTAAAAAGGCACATAACTGAAAGTAAATGTAATTTAATTATTTAATATATCTTTGACATTGATATTTTTAATATATCTTTTTATTTTCAGAATTTTTTTCCAAATAATTACAAAATTTTTCTTTGAAAAATTGAATCTTTTAAATATTTTTAAGAAATCTGAATTGATTTTTACTTTGAATTACTTTTAAAAATTGAAAAATGAGGAAATGTCTAATTTATAATTAGGAAATTAGAAAGATATACGGTGAATTTAATTACAAATTTCTTTCAATATTTCAATCTTTAAAAAAGCTAAGGTAGCGCTGTGCGCATTTAAATCTGTATAATTTTTATAAAATATGATGAATATTCTATATCGTTAAAAGATTTTAAATGCATTTAAATTTGATAAATCCTTGATTGTCTATAGTTTTAGGAAATTGTCCCAATAATGGCAGTAGCTACCTCTGCTTTGAACCCTTTTTTTTTTTCAGGAAAAGGGTATAGATACTGTAAATAGTTCAGTAATAGTATCAAATACAATTACATTAATCATAAATATAATTTATATTATTAGTAAGTATTAATTTCAATCATTCTTTCGTGTATTTTCTATTTTCTCTGAAATTAATTGAAATTTTATAATTCTATTAAAACAGTAGAATAAAAAATATAATACGAAATATGAATAATGAAAAATAATATGAAAAAATGTTCAATATATAAAAGATAAAAAATAATTAATAATAAACCATTTGGAATTGCTGCAATAATAACATTTCTTTGCAAATAATGTTAAGAAAATAAAAATAAAGAAATAAAACTGTCTGGTCTTGGAAATACTGATAACATAAAGAACCACATCGTTGGATCACGTATCACGTTTTGCGAGCACTACTTTTATATCCTACTGGAAATAGAATGTCACTCTCTGTGGAAGATCTCGGCTCTTCCGACTTGATGGTCATGTTTTCATACCATTTTTCCACTCTTCTTACAGTTATTTCATCCGGAAAACAATATCATGATTCTTTCAAATGGTAAAGGTGAGATATATCATTAAATTTATCATTTTCATTCCTAAAAAAAGAACATATTTTTATATTTTTTTGTATTTAAACGTAAAATTATGTATTTAAAAGCTATTTTTGAAATTTGTTATAAAATTAGTAATATTTTTTTTATTTATATTTATATAATATTTTTACGTAATATTTCTTCGTAAGATTCATTATAGGTGTGTCTAATGTATTCTTCGAATTCTTGATGATTTTTGTCGTTGTGAAATAAAAGTAATCTTGGCTATAAGTAATAATTCTTCGATTCCAAAGCGATAAATAATCGATATTTCCGTCGCGTAATTGATTGATTTTAACGTTTTTAATTTTATTTGCAATTTTATTTTTATTACCATCGGTGAAATAAAATTTTATAACAAAATTTTAGAATTATGAAATTTTTACGTTTAATCAATCAATCTTGAACAATTCATAAATAATTTTATTTTCAGAAGCACGAGTTCATAATCGAATTAAGCAAATTCATATAAACTTGACATTGTTGGCGTCTGCAACGATATCTACTTTTGTTGGCATTCGTTTCATTTATGTATGTGTCTTTCGGATATATTCTCACTGAATTTATCTCTGTGACCCAGTTCGTCTTAATCCAGAATATTTTGCCAATTGATCCTACCACATTTATGAGATTTTTCTTCAGAATAATATTATATTAATACAGTATATGCCAAATTTTATTATGAAAGCGTAAAAAATTAATTATTGTTATATCTTAAAGAATACGTATCCAATTAAATATTACAGAAGTATATTAAGAAATATACTGTAATATATACTTTTCATGGATACGTTAAAATTAAAAGACCAATTCAAGAGGAATACATTTATTTATCGTACATGTAATTACATCATTAAAAACTTATTTGCTAATCACTATCATAAATACTAACACTCATATAAACACTCGTATAAGCAAAGAAAGCTTCCTTTCCGGACGCAAGTCTCGCATTATCGATTTACCATTTCCGTTTCGAAATCCAGTTCGTTTTTCCAATTCCTTGCTAATCGATGTTGTTGTAAAAATAGCGCGACTGTATACTAAATTGCAAGAGACTAGATTCACTTTATTATCACGCCCCGAATAAAAATCCGCAATGGAACGATTCGATTCCTCCCCTCCAAATCAATAGCTACTCCGTCTCCGTTTGTTGCATTTGTACATTTTTCGAATTTTCTGTATGTCCCTTTTGCTGAATCCTTCTCTCTGACCCAGTTGAACTCCCGTACCGGCCTGGAATATTTCGCCAATAAAAACTTAGAAGGCCGCTTCATTCCTCCGCGTCCACAGTAACGTGGATTTTTTTTTTTTATTAAATATTTTCTCGCAATTAAGAATAAAAATCATAATTTCTTTTCTAAAAGTTTAAACAAAAGGGGATAAATTATAAATTTAAAAATTGTAAAATAAAAAAAAGAATTACTTTCATTTAAAATTACTAATAACAATTTTTAGAATTTATTTACTATAAAAATATTATTACTAAAAAAAAAAAGAATTATCGAAACAGTAAAGATCTTGACTCGATTGATGAGGTACGATTGCCTCTAATTGCTATCATATTTATCTTTCTTCTCCAAGGTCCGCAAACTCATAAATGTAAAACAGAGACTTACGAGATCTTCAAAGAGAGATAATCATCGTTTATAGAAAACCTTAAACAGCACGCGTGTCACGCGTGTAACACGATATCGACATAAATCAAATTTTTATTAATAGACCGTTCGTATATTTACGAGATCTCGAAAAGCCTCAAAGTTAGAAAGTTTAGTTGGGTCCTTGATAATCTCTTACTTATCGTATTACTCACTTTTGCCACTATGGTCGGTTGTCCGTTCTTGGAAAACGCGTTCGCAGAGTAATGCATTACGCTGCCATAATCGTATCCAATCCCGAACGCGTCTGTAATTTCCTTCGAGGCTTTCTCAAAATTTCCGACTTGATCTAAAGATAAATAAATAATTACTTGTACGATATTATTTATCTGCATATATTTAATTGAAATTTTAAAAAATAGTGTTACGATACATTCATAATAATAAAAATTTTCTACATCTTACAAAATTAGTTTAAAGTAAAAAAGGAATTTAAGAGTTAAATTTATAACATTTAAATTACATTTAAAAATTAATAATTTTATATTATATCTAGTAACCTGTATAAAATGATGTAAAAAGTAATATGTCTGATTAAAGAAATATTTTGATAAAGTATATAAGTATATAAATTAAATTATACTTTAAATTACTTGATAATATATAAAAATAAATTTAATTCGATTATTTAAATTAAATTTTTATACATTATTTATTTTCTTAAATAATAAACATAATTTATTTATTTTTTTATTAATTTTTTTTTTATTTATAATTATAAATTTAATATAACGCTTTCATTCAATGGTTAATTATAGAATTTAGTACTATTATCAGATATAGATTAATTAATATCAAATTGTCATCAAATAAAATTCCATTAGATTAATTTGCTTTCGAGAATTTTTTTATTTTTATTTTTTTATTTTTAATAATTACTGTTTATATAAGACCAATTTGTTATGTTAAATCTTCTAGATTTAACTTTCCAATTCAAATAATATTTTTCTTTAAAATTGGAATTTTTCCATTTCATTATCGATTCATAATTTATTCATATGAAATAATAAAATGAAATCGAATTTTTTTAATATCAACTGGTTATATAATTATTTTTAACATTTACGGGACATTATACGAAATAAAATGTTAGCACGGAATAAATGATCCGTTTTATTAATTGCAATTCGAATGGAAGAAAACCACTTACTGTACAAAATGTTATTCCACCGAATCGTGACATACTCGTCCCGTTCAAATCTGCTCTGCTCGTGCAGGAAACCAATGGCGTGCATCAGCTCGTGTATCACGGTACCTTTCTTCAGTAAACACCCCGGAACCTGAAGATTCACGTCTTGTTTACCACCGATTCTTCCCACGCTGCTCCAGCAACCAGTATTGCCAGCCGTGATCCTGATATAATCGCTCTCCTCGCCGGTATAAGGTTTGAATTTAACGCACGTGTACTTGTGGTAATCGTTCATCGCTTCGTGAATCAAGTTTCTCTGAGCGGTATCTGTATAACAATTTAACAATTCCTTCCTTTTTTTTTCTTCTTCTTCTTCTTCATTAGATTTTCATTAAATTCATATCCTTGGATAGAATTTTTGAACAAAGAATTGACAATTGTATGGACATTCTTCCCGAAGAGAATTTAAATCCATTAATGATGCCAAATATTAAAGTTTCCGAAATGAAGCCAGATTTCTCGCTTACCGAAATAAGGGCTAATCATGTACGGCACCACGCCGCCGGGCCATCGCGCAGCTTCCGCTTTGAGTCCGTTCTTGCCGAGCTGTGGCGGAAACAGAATATCACCCTCCGCGTAATTACCCAATTCTTCCGGGTTGCGGTCCCATCCCTCGTGCCAATTCGCCACAATGGTTCCGGTCTCGTTGTCCGGATTCCGATACAACAACTCGCCGAAGTGTTGCAGGTGAGCGATCACGCCGTGGGGGCTGTCCACCGCGTTGTCGAACACGTCTCGACGTCGAAACGGCCAGGCCGATGCCGAAACCATTAAGAAAACGAAAGAGAAGGAGAGGATGAAGGATGCACGATTCATGGCGAATTGTATCGTCGTTCGAGGGAATGTTTAAGAGTGTTCGCAAGATGTTGGAACCGATTCCACTGACGAAAATTCACCGGTTCTCCCCGACTTTATACGCACCTGAGAAACCCCACCCGCTCGATGCTTCCGCTCGATATGGAAACGATCGGGGACAGTTGGTGATAACTTGGTGGACTTTGGGTAACAGGAAGTCGAGATTTGCTCGTACGATTTCTCGAAGGTTCACGCGGCATGATATTTTTGATGTATGGGATGATGATCGTGGAGGGATACGTCGAATGTCACCAGTGTCAGGTTGTAAATAATATCGTTGATTCATAATTCTGACCTTATTTTTTTTTTTTTTTTTTTACGTTTTGAGAAATTGTACAAAGAAGATATTGAATTCTATCGAAGCATTTTAAAATTTTAAAATGTGAATATTATTTATATTTTGTTTGTTATAAAAAAAATATTGGTGAGTCTGTCTTATATATATATATAAAGAGTTAAACATGTATATAATTTTGATATTTTCAGCATCTTATCTTCTATATTTTTGATATATAACAATATTGCTAAAGTTTTGCAATGTAATTTAATATTATAAAAAAAGTGAAATGAGAATAAAAAATTTTGATTATTTTTTTTATACTCTTTTATTATACTAAAAATATAACGAAATATATTACAATTTCCAAAAGTGATTCAATTGAATGAATATAAAAAACATTTGCAAATGCGGAAGAGAAGTTAGGATTAAATTAAAAATTTTGATGGGTCATTTGAAGTAGCAAAGTATTATTTACATGTCGCTCTTTCACATCGATTGAAATTAACATCCTCCTTCGCACTTTATTCAGATGCAAATCTTGTTGGATAAATCCTTCCTATCATCGCTATTCGATATTTTCTATAGACCTTGCCAGCTCCTTTACAACGATGACTATGAACTTTGAAGGTCAGTAATAAAGTCTTTCTTCTTATATACCGCATCATATTCGTTATGGGTTATCATACTTTTTTCTTTTTATTGGGAACTTTACATTGAAACATCATTGTAATGATGAATACGTATATATCTGTCAAATTACCTCTTTCCCGTTCAATCTTTTAGTAGCTATTAGAGAATGTTTAACGTTTTGAGAAATTGTACAAAGAAGATATTGAATTCTATCGAAGCATTTTAAAATTTTAAAATGTGAATATTATTTATATTTTGTTTGTTATAAAAAAAATATTGGTGAGTCTGTCTTATATATATATATAAAGAGTTAAACATGTATATAATTTTGATATTTTCAGCATCTTATCTTCTATATTTTTGATATATAACAATATTGCTAAAGTTTTGCAATGTAATTTAATATTATAAAAAAAGTGAAATGAGAATAAAAAATTTTGATTATTTTTTTTTATACTCTTTTATTATACTAAAAATATAACGAAATATATTACAATTTCCAAAAGTGATTCAATTGAATGAATATAAAAAACATTTGCAAATGCGGAAGAGAAGTTAGGATTAATTAAAAATTTTGATGGGTCATTTGAAGTAGCAAAGTATTATTTACATGTCGCTCTTTCACATCGATTGAAATTAACATCCTCCTTCGCACTTTATTCAGATGCAAATCTTGTTGGATAAATCCTTCCTATCATCGCTATTCGATATTTTCTATAGACCTTGCCAGCTCCTTTACAACGATGACTATGAACTTTGAAGGTCAGTAATAAAGTCTTTCTTCTTATATACCGCATCATATTCGTTATGGGTTATCATACTTTTTTCTTTTTATTGGGAACTTTACATTGAAACATCATTGTAATGATGAATACGTATATATCTGTCAAATTACCTCTTTCCCGTTCAATCTTTTAGTAGCTATTAGAGAATGTTTAATGTGACAATGAATCATAAATATATTCAAATACTTATCTTTTTGCTCGATTCTTTATATATATATATATATATATTAATATATATTATTATAATTAATATTTCATTTTAAAATATTATTATCATTCCTTCGTATTATATTAAAATTTTAATTTAGTTTAGTTTTCAACGAAAATTTAAAATTTAAAATCCTTTTTCTAGTTTCAGTCTAGATTATAATTCGTCTAAGATAAAAAGAATTGTATCAAGTAAAATATATTTAAAAAACCGGTTCAATATGTACACACTTAATTATTTGAAAGATAAATTTTTACATGACACCCTTTTTCCTATTATACGAATTAGATAATTAAAGTACTAATTTCTAAGCGATAATTTGCATTTATTAGGAACTTTATTTAAATATATACTTTATTTAAATATAAGTCGATATTTACGAAATTTAAAAATAATTCGAGAAAGAAGGAAAAATTAAAATTTCAGTAATTTTGTAAAAAGAATTTCCGATAAATTACGAATAATGATTAAATAATTAATCATATGTACTATATAGATATACATATCTATTATTTCTAAAATATATTTCTATTTTATAATAATATATACATATTTTTTGACAAAAATAAAAATAATTTTTTCTTTTATAATTACAGGCAAATAACATATAATTATATACCATAAATAAATTTGATTTATAATTTATATTATAAGTTAAAATTGCCGATTAATAATATTTATTTTTTATCTTTTTATCAAGCTTAGGTTTATGATTAAACATCAAAGTATAATTCATAGATAACAATAAAATTTGTTTATAATTTAATTTAATAAAATGTGTTTATATTTATTGTTAAATCAAATTATGTACGGCGGAAACTATTTATCGTTATATATCTCTATAAAACTTTTATGGCTTAGATTATTTGATGTCTCGTCTAAAATTCATTTATTCTTTGCAATCGCAATTTTTTAAATTGCATATGTACATAGATGTCGTTATAATCGTATAACGCATGTTTCAAATTGATCAACCCGGCAAGTAACCTTGAAACTACGTAAATAACATTACCCCTTGATTAAAAATTCATTTAATACTTAATAATAATAATGACGCTCGATAATTCATGGCATGTAATCAAAACTGCAGCTGCAGAAAATAAACACGAATTAGTGTTGTCAGGTCCGGCAATTTCTGAATTGATTCAAAAAAGAGGCTTCGACAAGTCTTTATTTAACCTAGAGCATTTGAATTATTTGAATATTACGCAGACATGTTTACACGAAGTGTCAGAAGAAATTGAAAAATTGCAAAATCTAACGACATTGGTATTGCATTCGAATGAGATTTCGAAGATACCTAGCACAATCGGGAAATTAGAAAAATTAAAGGTTCTCGATTGCTCTAGGAACAAGTTGACGTCTTTACCAGATGAAATCGGTAAACTTCCACAATTAACAACCATGAACTTTAGTTCGAATCTTTTGAAATCATTACCTACGCAAATTGACAATGTTAAGTTGACTGTTTTGGATCTTTCGAACAATCAGTTTGAAGATTTTCCTGATGTGTGCTATACAGAATTGGTTCATCTTTCTGAAATCTATATCATGGGAAATCAAATAAAAGAAATTCCTACAGTAATAAATCAGCTTCCATCTTTAAAAATAATAAATGTAGCAAACAATAGAATTTCAGGTAATTAAGCTTATGATGCAAAATAAATGATGCAAAATATATCCAATGTATTTTATATTGATCTTGGTTTTTTTTTTTTTCTTTTATATAGTCATTCCAGGTGAGATCGCTGATTGTAATAAACTCAAAGAACTTCAGTTAAAAGGAAATCCATTATCTGACAAAAGATTATTAAAATTGGTTGATCAATGTCATAATAAACAAATATTAGAATATGTAAAGTTGCATTGTCCTAAACAAGATGGTTCTGTTAATTCAAATTCAAAATCAAAAAAGGAAAAAAGGTACAAAAATTATCAGAAAGTGAAAATAATGCCAATGTAATGGATAATTTGACACACAAAATGAAAATATTAAAAATGGCAAATGACACACCAGTAATTAAGGTTACAAAATATGTGAAAAATATCAGACCTTACATTGCAGCTTGTATTGTTAGAATATGAGCTTCACAGAAGATAGTTTTAAAAAATTTATTCAACTTCAAACTAAATTACATGATGGTATATGTGAAAAAAGAATGCAGCTACTATTGCTACACATGATTTAAAATTGATTACCATTGGTAAATATGAAAAATAATAGAAATATATATTAGAATATATATAATTCAGATATATAAAAATACATTTCATTAATGTCATGTTTAATATTTAGGAGATTTAACATATACAGCAAAACCACCAAATGAATTAGAAATTAAGCCATTAATGCGCAATAAAGTTTATACTGGTTCTGAATTATTCAAACAGTTACAAACTGAAGCTGATAATTTAAGGAAAGAAAAAAAACGCAATGTATATTCTGGCATTCATAAGTATCTTTATCTATTAGAAGGTAAACCTTACTTTCCTTGTTTGTTAGATGCTTCAGAACAAGTTATATCATTTCCACCTATAACGAATAGTGATATTACAAAAATGTCAATAAATACCCAAGCAATATTAATAGAAGTAACCAGTGCTTCGTCCTATCAAATTTGCAGGTAATATTAAAATTCATTAATTATAATTAACGTTTACTACTAAACTAATTAGTTTTATTAAAAATAATAAAATTAACATAAAAAAATTGTTCTGATTATATTATAAAGTAAATAATAAAAAATTTTATTTTTTTTTTATTAGGAATGTATTAGATCAATTTTTAAAGGAACTAGTTACTTTTGGTTTAGGATGTGTCTCAGAACAAGAAAATGCTTCAAATTATCATAAATTAATTATAGAACAAGTAAAAGTGGTAGATATGGAAGGTAATATGAAATTAGTATATCCTTCAAGAGCAGATTTAAATTTTGCAGAAAATTTTATAACAGTATTACGCGAGTAATAAATTACTGTAAGTAATTAAATCGTTCTTTAATTGATCTAATCTGCATTTTTCTTTCTTAATCTTTTTAACTATTATTTTTTGATTGATAAGTTGTAAATCTAAATTATTTTCATATTATTACTTTTTCATAAATAACATATTATTTTCATATGCCAAATTGTAATTTTTTATTTGTTACTCTATGAAAATCTTAAGATTAGTATGCAATGTATATAATATTTGCATATTTTATACAGAATCTTTTTGGTATGTATATCAATATAATTATATTTTAATCATAATATTTTTATACTGAGATTTGAATCTATGTAAAAATAATAACAATAAGTGTTTTATGTTATGAAAATCAAAAACTGGAAAATAAATATTAAAAAAAAAAAAATATTATTTATATTTTGACTTATGTTTTATTCCTTGCAAATATATACAGAAAATTATAATTTTCTAAATGTTAATAAAATAACAATTTAAAGTTAATAAATATTAATGCATGTATTTTAATTTATTTTATTTGTTTTTAAAATCTGAAATACATATTCGAAATTATTATTAGATTTTGTAAAACATGAAAATCATAAAATCATCAAAATGTTACCACAAATCATAAAATTTGATCTCTATACATTCTTTTATGTACAATATTTAAAAATATCTTATATAGAATACAATAATTAACCGCAAATTCAAATACCGGTGAAAAACCGCCATTTTACTGGCAGCTGACGACATTGGCGCTGTCGTGTCGCGAATCATCCCATAGTAAGCCGGTGAAGAATTCTCATCTGTTTTTATAAATATTGTACTTTGTTTCGTATACCTCAATGCAGTGCAAACTATAAAGATTATCTAAGTGAGAGGTTTTTGTTCATTTTAATAAACATAGTTGGTGAAAGTTACATATCAAAGTATTTAACGACAAGAAGAAATTCGCACGAATTCTGAACTTTCCAACATGCGCGAATGTTTAAAGTGTTAACATGGCGCCGAAACATGACTGGTCATGACGGGGGAATGAGAACGAAATTTTTGAGGTTAGTTGATCATTTTGTCATTTAAGTAATGTCGCATATCGTAAATTTGTCATATAATTAGTTGTATTAATATAATAAACATTACAATAGAAATGTCTATTACATATATTCTACACAATTTAATTATCATTGCAGAAAACACGTGTCACATTGTATAATTTATCAGTTGTTTTTATAATGATTTAGCAGAACGTCTTGATAGTAATAATAGCTACTTTATAAATATCACTGAACAAAAGAACTTGTATTGGACTTTGTGTTACTGTATTTTTTATAAATTTTGTCATAGATATTGTAGATTTCATAGATTGATGTAATGTTATCGAAATTTCTTATATTTTTTTTTTATTTTTTTTATCATTTTTATATGGAATTTTCATAATGTAATAAATTACCTTTTTTATTTTAAAAACTTTATTTAATTTTAGAGTGCTAAAAAATTTGTATAATAATAGATAAATTAATACAGATGAAAAAAATTTTTTATGCATAGCAATCTTATAATAATAATTAATATTATTGAGTTAATATAATTTATATAACTATATACTTTATTCATATATAATGACATGATTTTAATATTTTATATTAATAATTATTATGATAAAATATATATATACAATTATTAATTATCGCATAAAGAACAAAAATATTTATTAAATACTCTCTCAAAATTTTATTTATTTCTTCCATTAAATTTATATATTATAGATATATCAATGAACAACAAAACTATGAAATACATCAAAAACTACAATATATATAATTATGATAAACTGAAATATATTTTTAATATTACATTAAAATATTTAAAAATCAATCACATTTAGTATATTTATTAATCTTTTCCTAATGCCATTCTACAACATTTATTTTTCAAAAAAATTATTAAGTTATATGCATTATTTAAAAATATAAAATCATTTATTAAATATAAAAATATAACAAGATCTATTGGATTAAGTGGATATTTGTTTAAATATTTTAAAATTTTAACTATAATATAATATAAAATACATAAAATATATATTTCTTAAAATATATGTAATATATTTGTTGTTATTAAAATAAATTTTGACTAGCGTCATCTATTTTTTGTTATTTATCAATTCGAAATGCAAATATGGCACATTTAATTAAATCAATTGATAAACATGTAATTATATATTTCCATATAAAGGATAGTAAATTAGGAAGATTAATTAATCACATTTAATCTGATTATATGCTAAATAAATGCAATAACTTAATTCAATTTTGAATGTTCCTGTCTTTCCTTGAGATCAATAATGCTTAAATTGATACAGGAAATATATCCATGTAACAATGAGATAGCAGCTTTAATAAATGCTATGGGAGCAGAGAGATACATTACCAATCTAAATAAACTTATACCAATAACTGAAATAAAAATATATATTTTACAATTTTTAGTATAATATCTAGCATTGATAATATTACAAAACAAAATATATATAATAACTTACAAGTAGGTCCTTCAGTAAAGAAAAGGAGATATAATGCAGCATAAAAGGCTTCATTACCAGCACACATAAAAAATAAAACTTTACGATTAGTGTAATACACCCTCATAATTGGATTTTCAGACATATCAATAAATTTATGACTTGTTTTTCCTTGTAAAAGAGACCTATAATATATTTTCTTATATTTTTATGTTATAATATTATCTGTATATCTGAATAAAATTTCTTACGTATGCAAATATATCCAGTGACAACTAATATCAATAGCCATACTTAATTGAAACCAAAATGAGTAAGATGGATAAAATGTACAGAGTGCAGCTAAAAGACACATGGTACCAATGCGATCAGTTAATTGATCAAGCATAGCACCAAATTTGGTGCCTTGATTAAAATATCTTGCTGCATAACCATCTATTGCATCTAATAGTGCACTAATAATATAACACCATGATGCAATAATATAATTAGTTGTCATGAAATAAAAAGATATGATAGCCAAAATCACTCTGCCATAGCCTGTTAATATAGACATTATTCATTATTATTGTTATTATACATTACTATTAGTATTCGTTAATTATATTTGATTTCTTATAATTTTACAAATTATTTATCGTAGCTTTTTTATATAGATACTATATTATAACATAAAAGATATTATAATGTTTTTATTTATCACTAAATATTTTCGAACTTATATTGTCAATTGAATAATATTCATTTTTTATTTTATTATAAATAATAGTAAAGATTATATAAAAAAGCTACTCTTAAATTAGTATAAATCAATACAAGAAGACTTTAAAGTGCTATGCTATTAATCTTATTTTTATCATATACTTTATGAAACAATAATCATATAATAAACTTTTTATGTTTTTAATCTACATATAAAAATAATTTTTATGATGTAAAAGATTAAACATAAAAATTATGCAATATCATAAAGAATAAATTTATATATATTTTATTAGCTTTAAAAGAAAATTTATTCATTATATAAAAAAAAATTGTTATTTTATAAATATAATTTTTCTTTTAATTAATTATATAAAAATCTTTAAAATACTAAATTAATAAAAATAAAATATATATAGTTTTGATATCATATACATACATAAATATATATAGAAATATTTATCTTATATGATTTTTTTTTAACTTTATAATTATTTGCTTTTTTTACTTAATTTAAAAGTGAATTGTATATAAATTTATTAGCAACATTATGTTAACAATATATTTTTTAATTATTTTGACTTAAAAAACTAATATAAAAATTATATAAAATTTGTTATATAAAAAAAATAAAATTTAAATACAAATTATATAATATTAAATTCTAAATATTTATTTACCAATAATATTGGGCACAAATAAGAAAATATTCTCTGATTTTGTCATTTTTTTTGTTTGTGATTATCTTTCACTGTTATCTGAAATTAAGTATAAAAATTAATTTTTTATTATAATATTTCTCGTTAAAAAAAAATTCAATTCAAGAACTTTATAATTATTTCACTTTTGCACACTACCGATTTCAACTTTAATCTAAATTACTGTGGAAAAGAGTATAGACATCCTACAACGTCAATGAATGGTAGAATCGACAATCATATCGCTTTGGGATTCGAGAATTCGAGATGTATCGATTCCGGTGACGCATATAGTAATCACACAACTAGCAGTGTTGTATCTATTACTATTTTCACCTAAATTTATTTGCATCATATGAGATAAAAAAATAATAATTTTTATAAAATATAATACTTTTATATATATATACACATATATATATATAATTATACATTTAAAAGAAAAAATATTATATTTTATTTTAACTTAACTATGTTATAATTAATTATAAAAATTCGAATAAATTTTAATTACGATTATCTTTTAAACATGATGATTTTTAAATAAATCTGCTTTTATCATATTCATAAAATCTATTTTATATATTTAAAAAAAAATCATAGTTGTTGAATATATATTGACACATAGTTACGTTCCTGAAGCCAGACGACATTTTCGGAGGCTAAACGGCTGGTCCGCCGTTTCTCTGCGCAAAAGCGATCGTTTATTGTGTCGCGAGAAAACTGTCGGTACAGGTTTATGTCAATTTTCCTTAACTTTTTTCTGATATAACTAACTAAAAATAATATTCATTAATTAATAGTGAAGTCAAGTGAAATGTTTTAGTGCTAAAATTGATTAACCGTACGGTTGGATTTGGACGTCGTGCAATGAAGTTTAGGGTGGACTACTTTCCATTTACTGGAACACAATTAATATTGTATTTAAAATAAATCTCTCAGAAAAATTTTATTATTTATTTTTAAATTAAATATTGCAATAAAAGATCATTGTTGTAATTTTAGTGCCATTGTCGAAAAGTGTATAACCAGAAGTAACATTATGCGATCGATAATTCGCCGACGATTTTGGAATACGCTTCAATGATTGGATCAGATACTTATGATTTTGTGCAACAATTCTTATTGTCAGTGAAATATTTTAAAAGTGATTTCAGTGTCTTCCAAAACTTGTGCACGACAAAATAATAGCAAGAACAAAGTATATACTTGTTGGTATGTGTACAAGCAATGCCAGAAACAGTGTCGTTTGGGACAAATACGTTTTTGCGTCTTCCATCCGTATACGATTGCAATATCATTACAAATAAATTGCATTTCATATGAAAAAAAATTTACAAGAAAGGTACATGAGAAAAATGTGCATTTTAATATCGTTAGCGGCCATTTTGAACTTATGAGTACCTCGAACTACGACGATTATCAACCTCGTCTTATAATTCCAAAATTGGACCTTTTTTTTATGTCTTTCAATAGAGTACAAAAGCATAAAGAACTTATTGTCATGTCATCTGAAAATATTTATTATTTTCTTTTTCTAAAATGAAATTCTAATAAGTGCTTCAGAAAGCATTCCATTCATTTTATATTTTATATTTTAACATATATCTGCTATATTATAATCCTAGAATGAATTTGAATACACATTCAACTATAATAAAAAATTTGTTCATGATGAACGAAAAAAGTAAATAAATTGCAAATTCTTTTTTATTCTTTATTACTTATGAAAAAGTAACAAATAATTCCAAATGAGCATATCAATCATTAAATGACATACAAATAAAATAAATTTTTTCATTATTTCATTATTTTTATGTTTTTCCTTTAATAAATATATGATTTGAACATAAGATAAATATTATCATACAACAAGCAGTACAGTTTCAATTTTTTGAAATAACGTACTCTACAGTCGACAGTTGTAATTAGAGGTGACAAGTAGATCTGAAATAACCTCAACAACGAAAAATCGTTGGTCAAAATAGAAATATGAATTATGTTTTCAAACTTATCGTACATAAGCAAAAGTATATAAATTAATTAAAAATATATGGAGAATCACTAAAACAAAAGTTGAAAGACAACAGTTTTCTGATTGATCGACAGTCACGACATTAGATGGTGGACGGTGCCATTTTTGTCACTTTCATAGCGCGCATGGTACGCGCGGAAAGTTGAGTATATTAAAAAAATCATCAATTGAATCTTACGGTTTATAAATACAAATAATTATTATTCTTTATGCATGTATATTTTTCGACTTCAATTGTATATTAAAATTGTGTATGAATCAAATTAGGCTTAACCTAATGTGACGGCATAGTGCAGAATGCTTTCGTTTACATGGACGTGATGGTTTCAATAATTTTATAAACTAAATAAACAAAATCATCAAAATTAAAGTGATACGACATGCGAAAATCTCAAATTATTCTCTGTGATCAAATAAAATGGGTCGTTAGACCTTAAAATCACCAAAGAAAAATGATAAAAATATGAGTACAGCGGATATAACGCTGTCAATTTCAGTCAAAATGGCCCCAGGGCCAGAACATCGTCAAGAACCAGTAGCACCTGACAAAAGTGCTGAAAATAACAATAGTGAAATCTCTAATGAAAGAGATAATATTGAAAATTCAGTGATAGTTGTTGAGACTGTTAGTAACCAGAGTTCGAATGCAGAGTGTGCTTCAACGAATACTGACATCAATTCAGATTCGACAACCCAAAATGTACCAACTTGCATTACTTCTGACAATAAACAGGTGAGTTAATATATAAGGAATCTATGTAAACAAGATATGTATTGATAGAATAGAATATATATTATAAGATCATTTTAATCATTTATATATAGATGTATATGTATAAGAATATTTATACATATATAGAAAGATCACTTGAAATATATTATTGAAAGATTTAGATTTTTTAAGAATATGAATCTGAAA